CAAAGTTGGGGGGGGGGGCCCTTGCAGGGCTAATCCCTGCAAGACAGATTAGTATTATCATCCCTTTTATACTACTGCTAATTTGACAGACAAGGTTCTTCTTGCACTAAGTTGTTTGCTTAATTTTGCCTTAGCATATTATGTGAACCCAATCATAGTGGTTTGGAAGGCAGGGTCTATGACCCAAATGGGCATCCTGTGGAACTAACCCTCTCCTCAAATTCTGTAACCTGTTAGTTCAGTGTTTCTCAATTTAGCAATTTTTAAGGTGTGAATATAACACAATTGCTGGGTTCACCTAACATGTGAAACCTGAACAAACAGTACTAGTTTACCAGGATGTTCAGCAAAGTAGTCAGTCACAAATTGTAGATGTGTATATTACACGCTGGCCTGTAAAAACTAAAGTTAGTTGGATCTGACTAATTGCTGAATGGGTGACCACTAAGGCTGTATGGAGACAGATAACTCCCAGAATAAGGCAAGGGCAAATTATTTCTGAGCTGCTCCCAACAAAACAAATTAGGTCAGTTAGAACCTGAGCTTCTGGAGCAGTGCTTCTCAACCTGGGGAATTCTGGGAATTGAAGTTCACATATCCTTAAGTTGCCATGGTTGAGAAACGCCAAACCCTATATTCACGTTAAACATGTCATGCACCACTGCCTTCTTATGGATCACATGGGCAAAATAACAATCTTTTTATAACATCCACCGTCCTAGAAGGTCTTGTCTCTCTGATCATCCTCATCTTACCTGTAATCACACCTAAATCTATTCAATATCCACACGTGCTGCCTTCCCGCCTCAAATGACAGGATCTCTTTAAATGTTTCGGAGGCATGCGGTCACTATGATTTTTATCATTTATTCTTTCTTGTAAAACTCCCCTTATTAGTCTCGCCCCCACCATGCCAAGGTTTTCTTAAATTATTTGCTCCTCCAACCCATCCCCTTTCTTTCTGCCTGCACCAATTCCCCCTCCTCCCCCGAAATTCCCTGCCGCTTACATAAATCAGGAATTTGAGCCTCCTCTTTAAGGCTCTATAACGTCTCTTGTAGCCCCCACCGCCCGGATCGGGCTCTCCTGCTCCGTTCATGCCCGCCTGGGGAAGTAACGTGGGACAGGAACCGCGATACAAAGCTGGAGTGGAAAAACTACATTTCCCGGCATGCTTCGGAAAGCGGGCACGTGGAGAGCTCGGAACTACATTTCCCAATATGCATTGTGAGGAAAAGAACTAACGGGTCGTGGTGAAGCTTTTCTTAATGTTCAGCGTTCTTACTTTATTTTCTATCCTACCCACGTTTGTTAAGAAACAGTAGTAGAACTGAGCTTAGCCTGGTAAAATCTCTTTCTGTCTCGCTTTGGTTATGGATGAACGCCTTTTCTACACTATTTTTGCCCCATCTCTTTGCTTCCCTTATTGCTTTCAGTGATTTACTGTAATCTTTGGGCACAGTTTAGGAATGTTATTGGCCAACCATGCATTCTTACGAATGGAAATTTGGAGATACAGTCAAGATAATACAAAGCCAGGCTAGAAGAAAGCTACAGAACAAGACGATGTAAGGTCCTTCCAAGGTTGGAGTTAGTTTTTCCTCTCTCCAGGCTTTCATCAACATGTCCTGTTTTGTACTGCAAAGTCCAAGGGGGGAGTTTGGGCAAGAATGCCTTTCTGTCGCAGGAGAGAAAAACATCTAGACAGTTCGAGTACATATTTTCTAATTATTTTATCTTTTAATTCAATTCTTGGTAATCCCTCCTTCCCCATCTACTATCGTATCTTCATTATGTCTCTCTTTTTCTTGTCCTTTTCTTTTCTTTTCCCAACTCCTTTGCTATGAACAAGTGTATACCTCCTTTAGGCTTCCTGATTAAAATTTGTCCACATTTGATAAGAAATGCTAACCACCAAAACGTCCCCAAATGTCAATTTTTAGACAAAAATGCCACTGGCTGCCTCTTTCCCCCCCCCTTCTGGGTCAAAACCTCCTCCAACCTTTGTCCTTGTTTATAAATAAATTACCTAGCGAAGAGCCAACAAAGGAGAGCTCACCAAACTATGTTTGCATTTGTTAACACAAGCTCTTTTTCTAACAGTTTTGCATACAAATCTGTAATCAAAACAACGTAAGTTATAATCCCAATTTTTTCTCAACTTCTTTGTTTTAACTTCACAAAAAATAAACAAGTTTAGTAAGATATTCTGAGTTACTGAAATAAGTTTTTTTTTATCAAACTCTAGTATTGCTTTTAATATAAAGTTAGTCAAAGTCCAATTAAATCAAATTCTATTCAGATGGAAACAAATTTCCATTAAATTTCCACACCACCTTTCTCAAACCTGAATTCTAAGCAGAGAAAAGGTGAAAAAGATCAACCCCCCCTTCTCCTTTCACTCTCTCTCCCTCTCAAAGCAACACAGCCAGAAAAAAAAAGCGGGGGGGGGGGAAGGGGGTTGTGTCTGCAGATAGAGTTTGAAAAGGCATTAACACACTTCTGAATAACATTTGCAAAAGGGAGAGAGCAGAATTAATAGGCAAGAAAATGAAGCTACTCAATTTTACAGTTATTTTTTTCTTTATGTTTACAACAACGACTTACAACAACAACCCATCTTCTTGAGAGTTTACCTGATTATGGTTCCCTGAGGTTCTTGATTTGACGGCCACTCAAGGCCACTCAAAACTCTTAACACCAGTTTGCTTCCCTTCAGGCTGGCCTTTCCCCTCACGGGAGTAAGGGACCTCAACCTTTCAGGTCTGCACTCCTCTGGACTTACCAGTGTTCCCAGAACACAGTCCATCACACTCACACAGCCATTATCGCAGAAATCCTCCCACAATCGCTCTCCTGACCACCCAGGTACAATTGCATGGTTCCCTACTTCAGGGCAAAAGTGTCTTACTTGGGCCAGTGCACTGGGTTACCTGGTCTGGGCTTCAGTTGCTGATTTTCTTCCTTTTTTCCTGTTCTTTGATTTTTGTAAACCAGAATTGTCAATTTAGTTTGGCTCGGAGCCTGCAAAGGGAAACTAGATCTCAGATAATTCCAGGCAGTTGAAATCAACAGGCGCGCTCCTGATTTTACTGAGAACAGTGTCCCTTAGAAGCTCTTAAATGCCCGCATTCTCCACCAAGATTGTGAGATGTAAAAACCACAAATTTTGATACTCACAATCCGAAGACAAGTCTGGTTAACAAAACAAAGGTTTATTGGAGAATAACATAAAAAGAGAAGAGAAGAGAAGAGAAGAGAAGAGAAGAGAAGAGAAGAGAAGAGAAGAGAAGAGAAGAGAAGAGAAGAGAAGAGAGAAGAGAAGAGAAGCGTTTGCAAACGGGCCTCCTGGATCCTTCCCAATGGATTGGATTTCCAGGAGCACCCTGGGCTGGTTTCAAACTCTGCATCTTATAGCTCCTCAATGCATGCCACATCTAAGAAGCTCTTTCATCTTTATAATGTCCTTTGAAGTTGTACTTAGTCATCCTTACCTCTTCCACCCATCTGCTGTTATCTTGTTTATTTGTAATTTTCACCTAAGGTCAAAATCCCCCTCTTTGATAGTAGGATTTCTACTCAAAGTGTAAGTTCCTGTGTCCGGACTTTTAGGCAGGAAAGTTCCTGTGTCCGGACTTTTAGGCAGGAAACAGTAAATATTTGGTCATAATTAATTATCTTTGCTGATTACCATTTGTACTAAAGAGACAGTTTCATATAATGACATTACATTTCTACAATTATTTCTACAATTATTAAAAGAATAACTTTTACTTCCTTCACTGGCAATGGGGTGGGCGCAGTTTCTTCATGATGCATCTGGCCCGCGGGCTGGCAGTTTAACACCCCTGCTCTAGGCATTCTCGGAGTTAAACTGGGTAAATGTAAACTGAATAGCTGTTTTCCAAGCTGGCTTTTGGGATATCAATTTTCTGATGGGCTGTGCATTGTTCTGGTGAATAGAGAGGACCTTATTGTTCAGCATCCTTGACCACAGCCAAATGGGAACTTGTTGTCTTCAATGTGGAGTGGTATGATGTTGCTGAGTACTGGTAACCAATGCACAAAAGTGGGATGCAACATGCCAGAGATGATATGCATTGTCTGGAAGAGTTGGACATCAACCATTTGGAGGAGCCATTTTTTTGAAGTACTCATCCAGCTTCTGAAAATCTTGAGAGAGGATTCTTCTGCATCACTGAAGTTGGTTTTTTTGGACTGTGAGATTGATATCATCGGCATAAATAAATTTTGGAGAAACAGTTTCAGGCAGGTCATGGATGTACAAATTAAAAAGAGCAGGGGATAGCATTGATTCTTGGTGGTAGTTCATTATTCAACTTATCTGCATCTATTGTATTCTGTAAAAACTTGAAATAACCTGTTATTTAACATGATAGCATGTTGTCAATCAAGGTAATGGTGTTACAAGGTATAACTGATTAGTTTGAGAAGTCCTCTCCAGACACTATCATAGGCCGCTGAGAGGTCAACAAAAAACAGACATTTTTCATTTTCCTTTGGAATCCATTCTCCAGATAGGAAATTAATAAAGCACTTGATTGCTACAATGACGTTTGGGGTAAAATCCAGCTCATTCTACTTGGATTACAGATTCTACCGTGGTTTATCAAGTAATAAACCACGGAAATCAACGAAAGTTCAGCCAATCACCTCTTTCTTTTCTTTAACTTCAATTTTTATTTGCAGAAACGATTGCGCAAGGGGGAGAGCTTCAGAAAGACCCACCGAGTAGGAGGACTCTGCAGCGTTTCCCAGAGGAAAAACTACACTTCCCAACAAGTCTGCAGGGCAGGCCCTCCATCATCATTGGCTCATAGATGATTTCCCATGAGGCCGTGGGGTAAAGAGCTCGGTCATGCGCGTTCCGTTTATTGCCGTTGCCGGCTACGCCTCTTTACGCACGGTTGGGACTATAATTGCAATGAGGGTTTGCAGAGGGAAGGGTTACGTTGGCTCGGAGGTGCTATTTGGCGGGAAAGGATGGCAGGAGGAGCTACTGGGCAGCCGCAAAAGATGCGGGAATTTGTCTCCAGGCTTTTCCAGAGAAGCCCTGATTTCAGGTGCGGCTCATACTCCGTGAGGGAGAGAACTGAAGCGTGCTTAGCCGAGATTGATGGCTTCTTTGCAGAATGCAATACCTCCAGAATCGTTTGCCCCGGCAGGCTAGCCCGCAGTCCCATCCTTGCCTGCTGAGAATTATGGGTGGTGTAGCGTCCCGTATGGCTGGAGGATGCAGAGTGGCAGAAGCAGAAGTAGCGGTTGGAGCTCGGGACGATTTTTCAGGTCTTGACTCCAACATCATAGTTAGTCTAGTAATTAAGGCACCAGGCTAGAAAGCAGGAGATCCCGAGTTCAAATTCTGCCTTAGGCGTGAAAGCTAGCTGGGTGACTTTGAACCGGTCACTTTTTCCTCTCCCCAACCCACCTCACAACTTCCAAAGGGGGGAATAATGTAGTAAAATGGAACAATTATTAGAATAATGATTTGTCTGCATAACTGCAATAATGATGTGTCTGCATAATTGCTAGAATAATGAGGTAATGCATAATCACTGGGAAAATTCACTGGGAAAGTTCTGTGTAAGTAATATGTGGCAACCAAATGCGCTTTGCACATGGATACTTTGTATGTAGCAAAACCTTCCATTGTATGCCTGTGAGAAACGCTCCTAATGTATCACAGTGTATTATCATGTGTAGTCCCTTTGTTTCTGAAAGGAGGGTAGTATAAAAACTGAAGTCTAATCCCGCCCTCCTCGTTCAGAATTGCCTATCTCTAATATGTTTCTGAACCTTGCGCAAATAAACTTCTCTGCTAAACCCTTCTGGAATTCATAAGAGTTCTTTCGTTTTCCACAAGAACCTCACAGGGTTGTTGTTGGGAAAATGGGAGGAGGAACTTGTGTTGGATATATTCGCCACCTTGAGCTATTTGTAAAAATAATAATAAAATGATACAGATTAAATAAAAACAAACCTTTTGGCAACAAGTGCTGAAGATGAGTATCACCTTAAGGATGACGAAAAATTAAAAACCCACCTGCATGTTGGTAGAAAAAAGATTTAGATTGGAAGATGTTCTCAGCATAATCTGGGGGGAAATTGTGATCCCTAGATGGCAACATTGGTTCCAGAATTGTACAGTCCTCAGTCAGCATGTGTTTCCTGGGTAATTTACAAAGGGAGAATCAAAGAATTGCATCTCTGAAGAGTAAGCTTAAATAGAAGAACAAATGTGAAAGATTATAGTTTAAAAAATCCTGAACTTTAGAGGACAAATTTGGGTGGGGCCCATATTGTGGCCTATAGATAAGTATTTGGGTGAATATGCCTATCGATAGAAATTTGGGTGAGACCCAGCTTGTGACCTATAGATATTCAGAACTCCATCTCTCCCTATCTAATATTATGGGCAGCTGGAAAAGTCAATTTCTGGAGGATTACAGATTCCCCATCCTTGTTCTTAATACATATTATATAAACAAATATTGTGTGGTTGCTTAGCAGATGCTGTCTAATGTTATCATGGTCTGTTGCAGCATGCTCACTTATGCCACTATTCGGAAGAAGTATCTTGACCATGTTGGGCTGGAAAAGTTATCTAAATTGCAGACGGAGCAGCTAAAACAACTGGTGGAGGAAGAACTGGTCCGGATGAAGGTGCTAATTTTAGGAGAGGAGAAAACATACGTGTTATACGTTGGTAAATAATGAAATGGATCCATATATGTTTATAACTTTTTTTTAATGTTATGCATCACAGGTTGATCAACCCCCAAGCAATGTAGATTTAAGGACTGAAGCCCAGGATTCCTTCAAATCGGGAGACCGCAAGAGACCCTCTCATACCTCTCATAGTTCAGAGAAAAAAATTAAAAATGAACAGGAGCATAAAAGGCAAAAGATTGAAAATATATTAGGTAATTGTATTTTTATGTGTTGGTGCTTAGCACGTACTATCCAGTATACCAATATTTTCTGAACTGGTAGAAGCTAAATATAAACTGGGCTTTAAAGTTATTGTCAAATTTTGGTAAATGTTCGTGAAAAATGGCTTTCCTATCGTTTTCTGCAGCTGTGAAGAAATCTACCGTGGTATATGATATAATGAAAAGATACAGAAAGGATTACAGGCTGCAGGGACTTCCCCATGAGGAAGGACCACCACAGTTTTGAGGCTTTGACCTCTTACACTGAAGGGAAATGAAGAGAAACACCAGAGATATATGGTAGCATGCATGGTGTGGAACATGTAGATATTTTTTTCTCTCTCTCACCTAGAGCTCAGGTTATCACTAAAATTCAATCAAGGGGAATCTAGGACTAATAAAAGAACTTGATTGAATAGTTAATTTGCTACTATCAGAGATGGTGATGACTGCCAATTCAGATGATTTTAATGGAGAAATAGATTCATAGAGAACCAGATTATTAGCCGTGTGGACTCTATGATACTTACTGCGTTACCACCAGTATGCAAAATTCTGGCTGCTGGTAAGGGGCAATAGACCAGGGCCATCCCATTCCAGCCGTACATACTTTTGTAAAGACTTATTGACTACTGTGTAGTGCTATTGGATTTTTTATTATTATTTACTCATTGCATTTATAGTCTGCTTGAGCTCTTAACAGCCCAGCTGCCATAAATGGAGACCTTCTCTAATTTTATCCCCACAATAAAACCCCTGTGGGTTGGACTGGGAGAGGATTTGGGTCTGCCCATTATAAAGGCATAATCAGAATCTGCAGTATACTGGCTTTCTGAGTATTCAAAATTAATAGGTCATTTTTGCAATGAAATTGCTGCTTTCTGAAGAGCACAGTTCAGGGTGAAAGAACGGTATGCTTTAATTTCTTTATGCCATTTATATCTAAATTGGGATTTCCGCATCCATCCACAAACAATCTGAAATTTCTTAACTTATCATGTTTCCTATAGACCAGTGGTGGTGAACCTATGGCATGGGTGCCAGAGGCGGCACTCAGAGCCCTCTCTGGGGGCACGCGTGCCGTCGCCCCAGTCCTAGGCCGTCAGCTGGGTTTTATAAAACCTTTTTGCTTTAGGCCTCCACCGCCGTGTGCAAAAAAAAAAAAAGATTCAATCAGTCAATTTCAACTTCTCGCGGGGGAAAAAAATCTTGCAAAGTTGGAATTGATTGACTGAACTTTTTAGTCTCACCCAGTCTGCTGTTACCACCGCAGCCATGCCCACCCAATGGGCCACACCCAGCCAATGGGCCACACCCACCCGGCACCCGACGATGCATAAGTGGGTTTTGGGTTGCAGTTTGGGCACTCGGTCTCTAAAAGGTTCGCCATCACTGCTATAGACAATAGCATGGCATTAATGTTCTACGCTTAACTAGAATAACCCTCAATTTACTTTTAAAAATCCATTATAAATGGAAGAAAAACAAAACTGTTTTAGTAAAGCAGCAATTGGTTTTTCATAACTTTCCCTGAAAATTGTCCTCCCTAGTGAGAGTTGATCTCCTTTGAGGATCTCTCCATAATAGTACTTTGATGACAGATCGTGACAGGTACATTTTTCTATGAGAAAGGGCTGATTTATAATTTCTTGGGATTTTTATCAAAAGCATATGTTCTTTAGAAGGCATGCTTAAAAGGACCAGGATATGGAAAAAAAAAACTTTTGTGGATTTGTAGTACATACAATAATTCACCGGGAACTTTAAAACATAATGGCTGCATATATATATATACATGTTAAATTTGCTTAGTAATAACGGTAGTAATAGTTAGTCTGTGTTTATGATTAAGTACAGTACATATAAATCAGGATAATAATAGCTGTTAAGACTTTTTGTACTACAAAGTAATAAACAATTTAAACAATTCCCACAACTTTAGTATAAACCTACCGTGAATAATAGGAGGCAAGGTTTTTTCTAGCTTCATAAAGATCCTGTGGGGAAAAAGTGCTGTAAGACTGTTTTTGTTTTGTTTTGTTCTTTAGGCAGAGTATTTCTGCCTAATCCAGAGAGATGCAGGCGAACTAAAATTCGTCCTGCAATGCTGATCTTCTATATCAGGCATGTCAAACTCGCGATGTCATGTGACTTTTCCCCCATTGCCAGCAATGGGGTGGGCGCGGTTTCGGCGTGACGCATCCAGCCCATGGGCCAGCAGTTTGACATGCCTGTTCTGAATCACTGCTGTGAGGCTGTGATATAAAACCATCCTCATTTGCATTTTAAATCAATATAGTACCATCCATTTGCTGTTTATCATCTTTCTCCATCTGCTACAAATGAGCCTCTATTCAGGCTTCCATTCAGCAAATGTCAGGCTGCATTGAATCCAGAGATGGGACACCTGTTTTCCTCCAATTATGTTGGCCCAACAATCCTGAAAGCCTTGGATTTTGATTATGCTTTCCGGAATTTAAAAAAAATCTGGAGGGGACAGGTATCCTACCCCTGCTGGCTGAGCATTGCATTCTGGGAGTCACTTCAATATACTCCAAAACCCTTGATTGGGAAGAGCTGGTGACTGAATGTTGGAGTGGTTGCTGGGGCCAGATCAAATCCATTGCTTTCTTCCGCCCTTCTCTTAAATTATTGTCTTTGCTTTTCTGTTATCCCTGTTGTTATTCTTGTATTGATTCCATCTATTCTTGTATTGATTCCATCGTACTCTTTTTTTTTTAACCTCCTGCTTTTCCATTTCCTCTTTGTTCTTAGAAGTATTTTGTACGTGCTTTGCCATTTTAAAAGTGAAACAGAAATGGTTTGGAAAAAATTAAAGGGAGAAACAGAGCGCCTAATGAAAACTAGGCTATAGTGGTCATAGGTAGGTAAATAAGTGACCAATCATAATGATGAGAAAGCAGCATTGTATAGGCTATATATTTAATTTGGAGCTGGGCTTCTGAAATTGAAGATCTTTGCCTGCCTGCCTGCCTACCAACAATTGGATTATTTGCCACAAATAACCCAACAAATTCATAAGGATGTGCAACTTTTTTTCAGCCTTGGCTGGAATTCCAAGGAGTGAACCCCAGAAGTGGGCAAACCTAGGATAAAAAGGAGGGTGTTTTTATTATATTATTTATTTATTGGTATCCTGCCTTTATTATTTTTACAAATAACTCAGGACAGCAAACATATTAATACATCTTCCTCTTCCTAGTCTCCCCACAATAACAGATGAACTGGGCTGAGAGAGAGTGACTGGCCCAGAGTCACCCAGCTTTTATGATTAAGGTGGGACTAGAACTCTCAGTCTTCTGGTGATTGGCCCAAAGTCACCCAACCTGCTTTCGTGGCTAACTCAGGATTTGAACTCATGATCTCTGCTTTCTAGTCTACTGCCTTAACCACTAGACCGGGGTGGGGAACTATGGCCCTTTTATGACTTGTGGACATCAACTCCCAGAATTTCTGAGCCCTGGGAGTTGAAGTCCACAAATCATAAAGAGGCCATAGTTCCCCACCTCTGCACTAGACCAAACTAGCGCTCAAAATTGAGACAATTGAGGGGGGGGATTTATTCCCCATGTTCTCAATATTCCTTTCTGTCGCATTAAAATGGCAACTTTGGGGGCTCTCCAGATGCGGCATCCAAGGCTTTGGGATCTCTTGGAGATTCAGGACTTCTGGTTGGGCTCTCCTACTTTAGAGTAACAGTTGTCCTTCCCCAATCTGATTCTGTTTGTCACTTTTTCATTTTGTCTCTCAGAAATCAGTTCTGATGAAAAGGATTCTGAGATTGATTCCAAGAAGAGGCCGTGCCACAGGAGTCAACTTCTCAGGAACGTCTTGGATTCTTCTGACCAAGGAGACTCCAGAGCTGGAGATCACAATGCTCACTCTGAAACCGATGAGGAAATTACAAAGAGCAAAAGAAAGCCATCCCTTCAGGAGGCAAGAGGGAAGAGAGGACGAGGCAGCAAATCAGCCAAGGGCCAGGGGAACAGGGGCTTGCAGAAAAGGGTGGTGAGTGACTCTGAGGAGGCCCCCGACATGGGACAGAGCGACCTTGAAGAAGAGGTCAAAATACCCAGGAAGGTCACAAAAGGAAACAGCTTGAAAAAGGTGGACAAGGAGTCTAAAGCTACTGACCCCACAGAAAAAGCAGAAAACAGGATAATGAATAAACAAAGAGAGGAAAAGAACCAATCAGAGGGAGGAACTGATCTATCTGAGGTAGAAGAGATCTCAGGGAAAAAAAGAGAATGGAATGAAAAGAAGATGTCCTTTAGTACAAACAGAGCCCAGGGGAGGATAGGGCTGGGAACCCAGAGGGGTTCGAAGGGGAACGAGAGAGAGGATGCCTCAGGAAGTGATTCTGATAAAAGTGATTTGCAGAAGAAGATGGCAGGCAGCAAATGCAGAAGGAAGAGTAGAGTTCTAGAGGATTCTGGGAGCAGTTCTGAGGATTCTGGAGATCAAGGTCCAGTAAGGAAGGTAAAAACAGCGAGGGCCTGGAGAGAAATTGAGAGCCAGGATCACTCCAAACCCGAGATGCAGCCTAAAGAGAGAGAGGGGAGGAAGAACATGCAGAGGAAAGACTCGAGCGGGAAGAAACCGGAGGAAGAGAAGAAGATGACGCAAAGGATTCAGGAGTCCACAAGTGAAGAATCTGAAAGTGAGTCAAATAAGCATAAAAGCTCCAAAGAGGAGACAAAGCGGGCGCAGGATCCCACTAGCAGTGAAGGGGAATCACAAAGCGAGATGAATCAAGGCCAGCCTGGGAAGGCAGCTCTAATAAGTCTCTCGTCAGAAAGTGAGTCAGATGAAAGCAACAATGGAGATCCGAGGGGGAAACTGGAAAAAAAGAGCAAGCCCGTTTCTGAGTGTGACTCAAGTCAAGGGGAGGAGAAGTTGAAGAAGAGAGGAGCGCCAAAGTCACAGAAAAAGAGCATCGGTAAAACAATCTCCGTGCTTCGTTCTGAGAATTTAGTAAGTGAGTTTGTAGAAAAGAAAACCACTCAAAACCCGCAGCAGAAAAGAACGAAAAAGCTCAAAAGGAAGAGTGCTGCCAAGGAGAAAGAGGGGGAAGAATCCAGCAAGGAAGAGGGCTCCGGCTCAGAAGAGGATGAGCCCTCTACTTCTCACCATCCTGGAAAGGTAAGGGACATCCGCCCAGGGGCTTCAGAAATGTGTGTTTTCTTACAGGTAGTCCCTGACTTACAGCTGTTCATCTAGTAACCATTTGAAATTGCAGCGGCACTGAAAAAAGTGACTTGCGACCAGTCCTCACACTTACAACTGTCTCAGCATCCCCACAGTCGTGTGAACAAAATTGGAGCACTTGGCAACCAGCATGTATTTACAATTTTTGCAACATCCTGGGGTCATCTGATTGCCGTTTGCAACCTTCCGAGGGGATTTTTGACAAGCAAGGTCAGGGGTCCTCAAACCTGGCCACTTTAAGACTTGTGGACTTCAACTCCCAGAATTCCCCACCCACCCATGCTGGCTGGGGAATTCTGAGAGTTGAAGTCCACAAGTCTTAAAGTGGCCAAGTTTGAGGACCCCTGAGCAAGGTCAGTGGGGGGAAGTCGCCTTCACTTAACCGTGTAGTTCACGTAACAACTGAAGCAAAAAGGACGTAAAATAGGGCACAATTTAGTTAACAAATGCCTTGTTTAGCAATGGAAATTCTGGATCCAATAGTGGTTTTAAGTCAAAGATTATCTATACAGGTAGTCCTCTACTTACAGCTGTTCATTTAGTGACCGAAGTTAATGGCTTATAACCATTTTTCATACTTATGATCATTGCAGCATCCCCGTGGTCACATTACCAAAACCCCAGATGCTTGGCAACTGGCTCATACTTATGGCCATTGCTGTGTCCCAAGGTCACGTGATCCCCTTTTGTCACCTGACAAGCAAAGCCAGTGGGGAAACCAGATCCACTTAACAACTGTTACCAACTTAGCAACTGCAGTGGTTCACTTAACAACTGTGGCAAACAAAGGTAAAATGGGGAAAACTCACTTTAACAAATGTCTCAGCCACCAAAATGTTAAGGTCAATTGTGTTCATAAGTCGAGGACTAGCTTTACCGCAAGGTTTGTGGTGGCACAACTTTGTATTGTGTAGCAATTCCACACATTTCAGACAGCACAGTCCACACTGCTGAGTCAAATTGGCTTGGCTGCTGAGAACATGAGGGACTCTTCTTATTTGTTGAAGTTTCTCATCAGTGTCCCATTCTTTGCTCCAGTTTGCTCTGCAACACAGCTCAGAGTACCAGAAGGCTGGGCCATCTAAAGGCCCTGTTAGCTGGGCCATTTCTCTTCAAGCCATTCACCCACATTCTGACAGCCGCTTAGCCAAGTTACGCAAACTGGTCCTTATTCCTGGGGGGAGAGGGGGGGAGAATTCCCATACCAAACTTGGCACAGCCCTCCTCAACCTGGGCCCTGTGAAATGTATCGGATCTCCACTTCCAGAATTCTAAGGAAGTTTGCTGAATGGCTGCTTTCTGGTAGGGAATTCTGGGTATTGTAGTCACAGCACATCTACAGGCTTCCCCACTGACTTTGCCTGTCAGAAGATCGTAAAAGGTGATCACATGACCCCACTGCAACTGTCATAAATACATGCCAGTTGCCAAGAACCCAAATTTTTTATATATATTTGTTGCTGTTAGTTGCAAAGTCGTGTCCGACCCATCGCGACCCCATGGACAATGTTCCTCCAGGTCTTCCTGTCTTCTACCATCTTCTGGAGTCCATTTAAACTCACGCCTACTGCTTTAGTGACTCCATCCAGCCACCTCATTCTTTGTCGTCCCCTTCTTCTATTGCCCTCAATCTTTCCCAGCATTAGGCCCTTCTCCAGTGAGTCCTTCCTTCTCATTAGGTGGCCAAAGTACTTGAGTTTCAACTTCAGGATCTGGCCTTCTAAAGAGCAGTCGGGGTTGATCCCCTCTAGGACTGACCGGTTTGATCGCCTTGCAGTCCAAGGGACTCGCAGGAGTCTTCTCCAGCACCATAGTTCAAAGGCCTCAATTCTTTTTTTATTCTTTTTTTAACAGAATTCAATAATAATTATTCAACAAAAATGTGTTGTCTGAGTATCTTATTCACTAATGCAAATTAAATTCCTAATCCCTAAATCTTTTCTTTAACCATTGATAAAATAGGTCCCAAGTTTAAAAATATTCTGTTTCTTCTTTTTCTTTCAACCTTATAGTAAGACTGTCCATTTCCGCACAGTCTAATATTTTTTTAATTATTTCTTCTTCTGGTGGTATTTCTTCATTCTTCCAATATTGTGCAAATATAATTCTTACCGCTGTTATCATGTGTAGAATCAAATATGTACTTTGCTTATCAAGTTTTTCTGGCATTATGCCTAGTAAAAAAAATATTCAGGTTTATAGTCTATGTGTTTCTTTAACATTTTTTCTAACGAAGTGTGGATTATTGTCCAATAGCAAGCCAAGCACCCGAATTTTGATCACATGACAATGTGCAATGGTCATAAGTGTGAAACATGATTATAAGTCACTTTTTTCAGGACCTTTCTAACTTCAGTCACAATATGAATCATTGTGAGTCAAGGACTACCTGTACAGCAGTATTTTATTTTATTTATTTTTATTTTATTTATTTATTTAATTTAATTTATATGCCGCCCTTCTCCCGACAGGGACTCAGGGCGGCGCACAACATATTTAAAACCAGAACATATATACAATCCCCCCCTTAAAACCGAATTAAACCGAATTTTAATGTTGCGTCTTCCGAATATTTAAAACCCAATGTAAAATCCACCCTAGGTCAGGTCCGCTTGCT